GAATTTGCTCAAAACATCCGTGACTTCAGTTTCCTATTAAGAAAGCAATAGTGCCTACCTTGCAGTGTTGTCTGGAGTGTAGTGTGATACCATACAAATGCTTAAGCAGGGGTATTAGTATACATGACATGTAGAACTGATTTCTGGGAACTGTTGGAAAGGAAGACTAGCACTGAGATAAGAGTTTGGGTTTGGGAATTGGACCTGGATTTTTATTGCCTCGCTCTACAAATAAGCAATTATGTGTATTACTTAACTTCTCTTCCTTCATTTCCACATCTTTAAAATAAGGAAGATAACAGGACTGACCTCAGAGGGTTGTTTTGGGGGTAAAACAAAGCGCCCGGTACAGTGTCTAGCACAAAATAAATATCCATATAAATGTTAGCTCTTGTGGTAGAGCTGTTTTATGTGTAATTTCAGGTTACCAGCAAGATCAATTAAGAGCCTGGGACGGTAACCACTTGTTTTTCATATATGTCACACCTATAGCCTTTCAAAATTTTTCCTTTTGATAATTGATTACTGTTAAGTCTAATGCTGCCATCTATATAGTCATTTATGGGAATATTTGCCATGATTGGGCATAAAATATAGTCTGCAACCGTGATAAGAAGTTGAAAATTGGGAAGAGAGGTAATGGGGGGGGGGTAGGTAGAGTGCATAAATATTTCTCTATTTCTTGAATTTAACTATTTTTCTCTTCCTGTCTGGTCCTCCCCACCCACCAGGATCAGAGTATCAGTAATCTCTCACCAGATTCTTTCCGTTTTGCATTCTGTGTTTCTGGGGGGAAAAAAAGAAAAAAAAAAAAGTTGTATTTTTTTCCTACCAAGTCTTTCTCTCTTACTAAGTCTCATTTTCATTTTATGGGGTAGGGGGAAGACTTTCTGTTTGACTTTGTGTGTAGGTGTGTAGGAAAGTGGGAGCCAAGGAGGGTAAATGCATTGCTGTCATAGAAGACCTTCCTTGACCAGTACTCTGAATCATTAACCACATAGAGCCAGTATTGCATTGTGTTCTTTCACAGACTTAGGGAGGCTCTACCTTGTAACCATGAGGTCTCTAAGTCTATTGCTTTGTAGGAGTATCCTGCTTCATCTCCCTTTAATTGGTTTACTGCTTTCTGAGCTCCAGAAATAATATTTGTTTTGCTCAGTGAATTTTGAGCTCAGTAAAGTATAGACATTTAAGCTTCCCAGATTCTGTAGCAAAAGGAGCTTGGAAAGTAAATGATGTATTTACCTTTTTATGGTCTTTTTTCAGAGGTAGGGTACTTGAAAGGGGAAGAACATAAAATGTGTAGTATCTACTTCCTTCAGATTCTTTTTTTTTTTTTAAAGTCTCCACCTGGTAATGTGAGGACTTCCTCCTTATATGAAAGTTGAATTGCAACTAGGACAGTGCTGAGCTGTCTGCTCTTAGTCTCTGTAGCACTCATGAAACCCTCTGATGTTCATTTTCTCTAATATCTTTCAGGTTACTTGAATATCTTAACTGGGCAGATTTGGGGACATGTTGAGTTAGATATTGAATGGGGAGCTAGTATATCGCTTTTTCATACATCTGACATTTGAGGAGTCCTGAATGCAGTATAAAATGAGAGTAAATAGTACCCCATCAATATTTAAAATCTGTGTGGAAAAATCATATACACATCCCCCAATTTATGATCTCTGGGCACATCAAGTTAGTGACACAGTGACAGACAGAGGAACAATTTTAAGGAAGCCAAATATAGCAGCTGCCAGCTAAGAAGAGAATTAGAAAGGACAAAAATGGACAATCCTTTCCAAGTAGCGTATCCCATACATGTGCCATCATGATGGAGTACTTTTTCTCCTTCTCCATCTATCACATCTCCCATTTCCAGGACACATAGAAACCTGAGTGGGTTTATTTCTTCTTGAAGGTTAAAAAAAAAAAAAAAAAAGCATATATTATTACTCAGAAGAAGTATGGAGCATGGTCAGTTCAATTCATGTTGCTTGAGCAGTTCAACAATGTTCTCAAGGCCCTGGGATCTTTCCCTCTTCTGTGCTGCCATCCTCATCGTGTTGGCTCTGACCTCAGCTTGCTTACCCACCACTGTGGTATGACGGTTCCTGCTCTGTGTGACCATTCACACAACTCGTGCAAGGTTTTACATAGCCATTCTAGGGGTCCACTGGCTTGCTCTTCTTTTCTCAGAAAGCTACTGGGTGAGGTTCTTAATCTGGGAGAGTAGTATGGGGAAAAAGACAAAACTGGTTTTTGAAGAGGTTTTAATAATATATCTTGGGCATTTGTGCAAAATGAGTGACTCTGTTGTTGAACACGTAGATCTAAAACACTTATATGCTAAGGGACACAGGTGGGCTCCAAAGCCAGTGTAGTCTTGAAATATGTGAGGATTCAGGCTGTGATTTGCTTCACTAGATCCCTAAAAATGTTGGTACTTGACAGTGTTCTCATTTTTTTATTTTTTGGCGGTACATACATGTTGAAAGTTTCCTCTAAGTCAGTTACTTCATTTTTTCTTTTCTTTTTTTATCTTGATGGCATATTTCCCCCTACCCGTGACCTCAGGACAGTATTGATGCTCAGTGAATACTGCCAACTGATTGTGGTGTTCAAGAGAAACTTCACAGTTATGCAGTGTCTTTTTCTCTCCCCCTCATTGGCTGAAAACCATATTGCTTGTGAACCTGGTGATTGTTTATACCAAAACTTCTGCACTCTCAGCCAAAATCAAATCAAACACTGGGAGGTTGTGGAGGGAGAGGGGCAGACGTGGTAAGCTCTTCAGAACTATACTCTTGAAGACAGTGATTGCTCTAACCTCTTCTCACCTCTTTCCCTTAGGAATATCTTAGAATTAGCACTCCAGAGGAAAGTAGCAAATGGTATACATTGGAGTCAATGTCTTGCTTTCACTAATACTTCTCTGCTCTTTGAGGTATGAGTCTTATTGAGAGCACTCTTCTATAAGCTTATTAGCGCATACACGAACAGAGTTTGGTTGGCAAATAACCTGGCAGAGGACATTCAGCTCTCTACAGCTTTGTCTAGTCAACAAAACCCAAAGCATTTGGGACCCAGGTCTGTCTGTCCTTTTTACTGTTGTAGGTATGTCATTTGCTCTCTTTATGTCTAGGCTGGCCAGCATTTACCTACTCCTGGAATCTTCTCTCTAACCCCATTGGCCCTTGAGAAAATGGGTTACTCCATAGACGTGGTGCACAGTTTCTGCTGAATTGAATTCTGAGCAGTTTAAAGATAGTTTCCTGGCTAAAGACATTATCTCATCTTCCATTTTTACAATACCCTCAGCTCCTGCCCAGCTTCTCGCTCGGAAACTGTTTATTCCTGAACTTACTTCTCCAGCTGTCTCTTACTTCTCCCATTCTGGGTGTCCACGGTTACACTTTCGTTTTATTCACTTTCGGAATAAAATATCCTCCTTTGTCATTGGTCCCCAGCTTGCCCATTACAAACACATTCATTTCCATCATATTTTCTGACCCTTAGAGACTGACATTTTGTCTGTCATTAAATGGCTAACCTAAATATGTTTTACTGTACAGTGAGGAGGGGGTCTATTTATTGTGCATAAATAATGTATTGACTTATTCAGTAGTTTATAAAGATGTAAGCTTAATTTTGCCATTTTTTTCTCAGAAGCCCTACTGTGGTATGTGATTTCATATGAAGTTCAGGCAAGCCAGGAATAATAGGAAGATTTTATATGTAAAATTGGCTCTTTCAAAGGTGGTTTCCATTTTTGAAGGGAAACTGAAAAAAATTGGACCATAGTAAGTTTATAATTTTTTAATAATTTTTTATTCAGTGTTTTTGAGTTATTGAAGCAGTTCTTTAGTAATGGTCGGTTTTCCTTGCTAATCACATACAGTGTTTGTGTTTTTTTAACCTTTTTTTTTTGTAGTCTGATGAGAATGGCAAGTGTTTTGAAGCCAAATCTATGATGGTATGCAGATGATGGCAACACTGTGGCACCGAGTAAAGAAATGTGGTGTCATTGTTTTTATTTCACACTCTCCAAATTACCTGTGATGAGCTTAAGAGGTTTCATTCACGCATAGAAAAATTTTAATTATTCATAGTGCTTTGGTGTACCATAAAAGTCAAATTATTAACACTGTAATTTGTTCAGATAGCATTTAGTAGGAAAATATATCAGAAATAATTAATTGTTCTCAAGTTACAACAAGGTAGATATATCTACAGAGGGCAATCAGAAAGAGTAGCAGTAGGATACTGATTGCTTTTTAGAGAAAAAAAAATTCCGTTCTGTTAGTAAATGTTCACAATTGTGAGAGGCAAATTCCCACTGGGGAAGAGTGTTTTCCAGGTTGTTTGGCTGCCAGGTGTTTGACGTTGTGTGGAGTCTTGGATGCATAAGGCTTATGGCTGTCTTTGGGAATGACGTACCCCCAGGACCTCAGCTTTCTGCTGTGAAAGCTCCTATTTTCAAAACCCGCTAGTGTCAGTAGGAACATTCCAGTGGTCTCTAGGTGCTACTTCTAGTGAAGACCATAGTTTTTCCCTCGACTCTGAGATAGCTACAGAAGAAGATACCTGTCTACTAACAAAATTAATTTAGAATGTTGCCAGTGAGTGAACCACATGTTCTCCACTGTTTATAGGATTTGACTCCTATCATTTATTAATGGAAATAAACCTTGCCTCCTTTTGGTCTGTTTTAACATAACTGCACGCTACAGACATGATTTATAATCATTCTAAAGGTAACGAAAGTCCAAATGGTGTGATCGTTTGCTCCGAGACCATCCATATTTTTCCCTTTCCCTTTTTCTGTCTCCTTGACCTAGCAGCAGGAAGCCTTTGTTTGAGGTGTTCATCTGGAACAACTTTTCCACACTTGTTTTCATGTTCTGTTAGATTACAGGGCAGCAGGCCTACCTTTGAAGCTCCTTTCTCTTTTGTTTCTTTGCCGTGCACTCCAGTAATTAACTTTGTCCTTCTTTTATTTGTTCCAGTCAATCGCAGGCCACTCTGCTGAGCATCTTCTCCCAGGAGTACCAGGTTAGAAGTTTTCTCCTTTGTGAGGGTTGACAGGTGCCTAATTGAATGATGAATGTCCCTTTATTTCTTTGTAATTGAACTGCCAGCTCTCTGATTGGGTTGGAGGATGTTCTCCTTTCCACATCAAGCACCGCCTGCGTCTCAGTGGAGGCCTGCCAAGCCTACCCATCCATCTGTCTAATAACATCTAGCCTTTGCTTATTTGGTGGACCTATAATAAATTATGCTAAACCATTATTATTCTGACAATAATAATTTCCCTGTGTTGCGTGGTTCTATGTGCTAAATGTTTGCTGACTTGCACTGTCAGTGCTGCTTTCCATTGCTGACAGAGATGATGATAAATGACCATTGCTGGAGTGGCAGAAGGCAAGAGAGGCAGAAAATGGAGTCATTTATCATGAGATGACAGGTGTCAGTCAAGTGGCAAGTCTCTATGGAATTACTTTTTGTAGTTTTCAAATAAGTTGTTTTTAAGCAATGTTCTTCCTGGTTTAAAATGGCAATTGGATTGTAAAACTAGAGTGCAGAAGACTTAGATGGAATTGAATTGGGGGAAAATTAATACAAAGGTTGAAAGAGGGAACAAGTTTTTCTTTGCCCTCTGCAACCCTAAGCAAACTTATTTAGATTCAATTACTATGACCCTGTTGGCTTTTACATACATATTGTACCTTGTGCTACAGGCTGAAGACATCCCGGCCAAGCAGTAGAGATTAAAATGCATAGATTCGTAGAATGGAAGGAAAAAAGACCTACCACCGCCCAAATCCCCAGACTATTTTTCAGTTTGTCCTATGTACTAGATATTAGGATGAAGAGGTGTGTCATTCTGTTCTTGAACCTGATGCGTGACACAACATAAGATTCTTCTTTTGTTTTGTTTCAGAAACATATTAAAAGAACACATGCCAAACATCATACTTCAGAAGCGATTGAAAGTTATTATCAGAGGTATGACCTGCCTGCCCCACTAGAGGGTATCATAGTACCTATTAATTGTAATAATAATTATGAATAAATTAGGTTACTAAACTAATTGTCTATATAACATTTCAGGGCATTGTGATGTAAGTCTTACTTAAGACTTCAGGTGTATGTTTGCTTGATTTCTCAAATGGTTTGTTTAAAGAATCTGGTGAGGCTGTCTTGATTGTGTATACGCATACTGTGTAAGAAATCCTTATAGTATTATAGAATCTCAGTTAGCTACTTTAAACTTATTGTAAGTGTGTATCTTGTATAGATACATGTTAATATACACATGTATCTATATATATGTGTGAAAGTTCTGGAATCAAGTTTTATTTCTCATTTAGATCAACAAGTTGAAAAATACATTAGAAAATAAGATTGAATTTTGGTTCACTTCTGTTTTGTATCATAGGTAATAGGTTTGCCATTTTAGAAATGGGGGAAAAAAAGGGGGTGGGCACCTGGGTAGCTCAGATGGTTAAGCATCTGCCTTTGGCTCAGGTCAGGATCCCAGGGTCCTGGGATTGAGCCCTGCATCAGGCTCCCTGCTCAGTGGAGAGTCTGCTTGTCCTTCTCCCTTTGCCCCTCCACCTTGCTTATGCTCGCTCTGTCTCTCTCTCTCTCTCAAATGAATAAATAAAATCTTAAAAAAAAAAAATGAAAAAAAAAAGGCATGTCAACTAAGGACATACAGAGATAGATAATAATAGATGACTGTCACATTTTAAATGGAGTTTTGTATTTTTTTTAAATATATAGTGGTGGGGTTTTTTCCCAAATATTTAATTAACTTATTTATTTATTTGTGTGTGGGGGAGAGAGAGAGAGGGCACCCTTGAGTTGGGGGAGGGACAGAGGAAGAAGCAGACTCCCTCCTGAGCAGGGAGCCCAATGTGGGACTCCATCCCAGGACTCTGGGATCATGACCTGAGTCGAAGCCAGATGCTTACCTGACTGAGCCATCTAGGCATCCTGGGGTTTTGTATTTAAAAAGACAATCTGGGTATTAAATCAACAATGTAGTGTCCAGGGTATATATTAATTTCAGCCTAATTTATTATAAATAGTTTTCAACCTCTGTTCTAAAATAGAATGTTTAAAGTCGCTCTCTTACAAAAGTTCAAAAATGTTGTTGTCTTTGTAATATGACTGAATAATTTATTAACTGTAAATGGTAATGGTTTGCATTAGAATTGTTGGTTGGTTTCTTAAATATTTCAAGGACATACTGGAAAGGAAAACTGTCTGAAATATGCTCTTATGTTATTACACCTAAGATTGACAGATCAACGTTTCTGTGGTGAGTGACACCACTGATTTTAGATGAAGGATTTTTATGCACGAAAGTTTTATGAATGAAATGAGTATCTAGAATAAGTATCGGTATGATGTTTCTATCAAGTCATTTTTAAGAATTGAGAAGTGTTTACTGAAAAGAAAAGTTATTGAAGTTAGCCTTTTAAAAAATTATACACTGTGCCATGTATGATAAGAGATAATTTCAGTTTTCAGTAGTAGCGTCTATTAGGAATACAGGCACTGCATATGCACACACACTTTTGTGTCTAGGAGAATTCCCCTGCAAACAAGTCCTTGTAGAATTTGAATTGATTTTTTTAAAAAATTACAGTCCTCCTCAGTGACATTAACATTTGAATGAAAGTTATACCTAAATCATTCATGAAAAATGAAGAATGGCTCACAAAGTGTTATGAAGTCCACAATAGCTTTGGAATCCAGAATCCTCTCCAAGGAAAGACTGAAAAATTACTTATATGTCAAAAAGTACATTTTTGATTGTAAAAATGATCGTGTTAGGCCATCATATAAAAGTTTGGTTCTATGTCCAGTCTTTAAAACCTTGGTAACATAAGCAGTGGAAAATAGAGCCTTTCCTAGAAATTTGGAGATCTACTTACGGGCCATGGAGCTACCTCCTGACTGTCATTTTCACTGTTGCTTAAAGGCTATTTTAATTAGATGGTTTCTGTGACCTCTCAGTGTTGCTTTTTAAAATTTAGTTTCATTTAAAAATATACTTAATTACTGAGGTATAAACATACTATATTGGATTATCTGAGCGGGTCAAGCCAAAATAAAATTTTTTCCTGTAAATTTGATTACTTTTTGATAAGCATTCGGGTGAGCAATAATGAGAATACAGAAATATATACACATGTATTTATATATACTTATACATTTATTTAAATGTGAGAATCTAAATTGTTTCAAGGATTCACAACATTTTGAAGCAAAAATGTGAAGTTAGGCTGTTGTAATGGACAGACTAATAGGAAAGCAAGTCTCACCAGTTTCTCACTTGACCATTCTACTCCCTGGCTTTCTGCCCTGCACTCTGTGCCTGGAGATGGGTTACATTGTTACCTTGCAGATGGATTGACCACACAGCCTCTTGTAAACGTGCTGGTTTAATGTCCCTGTATTCTCTAAGGTAAATTGGCCTTAAGAGAGTTTTCTTTTCCAGCTGATAATAATAAAAGCAAATTGCATTACATCAAAATATATTTAAGCAGTTTGACAGTATTAATACTTTCTTCAATTATACACTGTGCCATTCTTTTATAAAAGTAATACTTGTATATTGTAGAAATTAAGCACACTTGTGATGGTATAGAAAGGAATGAATGAGCACCCGTAATTGTGGCAACCAGAGATAACCACTGTTGTATTTTCATTCTAGTTCTTTGTCAATCCATTTTTATATAGATGAGGTCATACTATATATACCATTTTGAATCCTGAATTTTATACTTGGAAAAATGTGTATGACATAATATCATTTTGTAGAAAGCTTTTTATAAACATTTTATTGATTGCATTATTTCATCATATGAAAGTACCTCACTGAATTATAACTCTGTTGAACATGTATGTTTCCAATGTTGTAATATAAAAATAATACTGTGATAAACAGTTTGGTACATAAGTATTTGCATATTGGATTAGTTTTTTTAAGATTTCTGTGTATATAATTACTGGTGCAAATAATGAGCATTTAAAGATTTTATTATATGTTGCCAAATCACTGTCTAGAAAGGGTGTGATGGTTTCTCCCTAACACTGTCAGGGAATTCCTGCGTCCCTGCATTCTTGATATTGTTGAGATGATCTCAATTCAGAATTTGAAGTCTGTATTTATAAACCATACAGTCCACAGTATGATTCCATGTGGTTAACTGAAAGTTCAAAGTATCCCAATATCAGCTGAAAATGTTTTCTCAAGCTTTTGAATTATTGAGGAAATTTCCTCACTTCTTCATGTTGTACAGATACACTTTGGTGTTTATTTTGAGAACAACTCTTTTCTTTCCCCCTTTATTAATGGCATTTTATTTCCAAACAGGAAACATACCTGGTAAAATTTATTTAGGTCCAACCAGACTGTTGCATAGTCTTAGATGCTAATAAATCTTTCACACTCAAAAAAACATAAAACAGACTTTCCATGAAGATTTTTTAAGGATGGTTTCACCCACAAGATAACATTTCTTAGTCCTCCTATAGCAAGGCTTAGAGGATGGCATATAACTTCTTTTTATATATACATGTTTTAATATACAAATAGGTATTGGGAAGATGGCCCTGGTCACCTTAATGTAGTATCCATTATCACATCTTTATATATCAGTTGTAATTCAGATCTTTGCTGAGGATCTGTTGGATGTGGGTTCAGCATTCATTTGTGTAGTCCTCTCCCAAGGAGCTTCCAGGCCAATTGGAGAGAGAAACAAGCCATTGTAAATGTATGGAAAGTCTACACTGCAAGTTTGTACAAGGTGTTTTGAGAATGCAGAGAAGGGTAGCATTAGGAATTTATGATCGTGTCTTACTGAATGTTTTCTGTAATTAGTATGCTCCTTTGATTGCCTATCTAAAAATTGGAATAAAACTGATGCATCACTTGGTATAGAAGATAGTTAAAGTTCCTAGAAAGGAAAACTTACAACTTTAAATTAATTTTCATTTAATTTGTTTTCCCCAGCACTTCTGAAGTGTTACAGAATATAGTTAAGAAACAAATTGGAGAATAAATATGTTTAGAAGAAGGTCTACCCTTTTCAGCGTTTGAAGGCTCCTCATTCGACCTTGGGAGTTGGGGTTCCATTTCAGAGCTTTACTGTTCACCAGCTAAGAGAGCCCAGACAGATTTCATCCATACCCTGGGGTCTTGTTTCTTGACAACTAGCAGCTTTTAACAAGCTCATAATTAGGAATTTCCACTGTATTAAGTACAAACATGTTTCTGTGTAGATATAGAGGGTTATTGTTTGACCATCTCCTGTTCTTTATAAACTTAATAGAGACACACCATTGGTTAATGGTTAATGCGACATTTACATGAAACTATGGAGTTTTGAGTCCAAACGACAGTTCTCTGGCATAGGTAGCAGTCTATGGTCTAACTATTCTTTTTCATTATTTCCAACCAGCTTTCAAAGCTTTGCTCTGGTCACAGTAGAGCCTTTCCTGGTCCTCAGACACCCCGGACACATTCCTGACATTTGTGCTTATTGTTCTCTTGTTGGGAATGTTCATCCTCCCATGGCTCCCCTCTTGCCTTCTTACGGGCCTCGACCCATGTGTCACTTCCTTAGAGATGGCTTCCCCACCCACCCATCTAAGCTTCCATTTTATCATAGAATATGTCATTATATTATGTAGGTATTTCTGTGTTTTCATTGTTTGTCTCTCCACTGCAGTCTCACCTCTGTGATGGCAAGAACCATGGAAGTTTTGTTCTCTGCTGCTCCTTCAGAATCTGGAATAGGCCCAATACAAGTTAGCTCTCAGAAATATTGTGGGATAAGTGAATGTTGAGTAGGAAGCTGCAAAGATACCCTAATATCAGTATAGGCTTAGCTAATCTGACCCAGAGCCTGAACCCTTAATGAACGTGCATGTTTGGTGGATTTGAACACAGCATTAGTTGGTGAGACTTGGCCAAATGGATTGGCTGTTTCTGGAGCAGCCCTGTCAGCACAGTGGAAATGTTGTGAGCTGATGTGAGGTTCTGAGCTAAGCTGGTTCCCAGGGACCTTTCTCTAAACCATACTTGCCTTTTTTTTTTTTTTCTTTTCTTCTGAGAGTGCTTATTTCTCAATTAGATTCTTAAATAGTTTTTTTAAGGAAGTCCCCAATACATGGTAAATGAATTTGTTAGAATTACTTTGAAGTTATAATGATCCTAAGACTTCCTACCTTGAGTAAATTTACATTTACTCCACTTGTTTATAGGAAAAATCATACATCTCCATAAACATACTTGTGAAAGAATATATTTTAGTATCTGCTTGTGGTAGTTACATGGAAGACCTCATCTGTTGACTTTGATTTTTACTATCAAAACAGATATTGTTAATTTATTCATTCAAACAGCATATTATAGAGAAAACATCCATATTGAATGTATTTTTCTTGTCCAGTATGGCTTTTAAAAGTTATTAAATCAGTCATTTATTAAAGAAAAAAATATATGTATAATACAATCAGCTATTATAAGCCAGAACTGTTTTAGACATAATTAGTTGAATAAAATACAATTCCTCTACCCTCATCAGGCTTTCAACCCTGTCCTGGGAAATGGGTTTGAGGTGGACAAGTAATTAGGCAGATAAAATATGCTGCTGTATTAAGTGACAGAGAGATACTTACAAGGTGTTCATCAATTGCACCTTGGGACACCTAACTTAACTCCTGGCTTGTGGTGGATTGAAGAAAGTTATATGTAATCCAAATCATGATTTCTTCAGGTGAAGGTTGGAATGCAGAACAGTGATGACAGATGAGACTGGGCAAGGACAGTAGGTGGGAACCAGATTATAAAGAAGTTTATAAGAGGTATTAAGTGGTTATAATTGAACCTTGAAATTTGACTTGGGGCTCTGAAATGTTTTGAGGAGAATGGCCTATTCAAATTTTTGCTTAAAGAAAAGATCACTCTGGCTTCCATGTCTGAGATGGATTTGGGGAGTTTTTTTGTTGTTTTGTTTTGTTTTGTTTTGTTTTGTTTATAGCTGGGTTAGGGTAGAAGGAGGGATGGAGGTTATGCTTGAAATCCAGGGCAGATAAAATGATGGCTTGTACTGCCTGACACTGACCCACCGATGACAAGTCTGCTCCATTTGTTTCTTAATAAGGTGTCAACCAATGGATGCTTTTTTCAAACCATAAGAATAAACTTATTTCCTTTGCTTAAGGTGGTTATGGTATAAAGCCAGGTGATAGGGCTAGTTCTTTTCAAAAATAACTTCCATCTTCACAGAAGGGAAGGGGGCCCAACGTGCTTAGACCTCACGCCCCCAACTTCAGTTAGTAAGTTTTCAGTGGTTTTGAGATAAGTTGTTTTTGTTTTCCTTTTCCCTTCTATGCTTTCCTATGACAGTAGCATACTTTAACTAGAGTTGAGTGTGGCATTTGCCCAGGAGAAACGTGTACACACAAGGGATGCTGACAAGTCTATGCTGGCCTTTTCTTGTCACTGCATTACCACTTGGCTTTGTCTGTCTAGGTACCTGAATGGAGTGGGGAGAAATGGAGCAGCCCCAGTGCTCCTGGAGCTGGCCAATGAGGTAATGTTATTGTTATTATTTTATTTAAACCTGCATATAAAACCTAAGGGGCCTATCTAGAGTAGCTTTGCTTGGAATTATAATTAACCTTAAAGAAAGAGGTTTTGAGGTGCATTAGACATTTAAATTGCTCCCTGGTCTCTTTGTAGTTTTAATAATTGGACAAAGAACTTCATATACTAATAAATCAGTTAACATAATTAGTCTACTTCTTTTAAAGCAAATGTATAAACAGCTTCTTGGTTTCTTATTTTGTGGGAAATTTCAGCCAAACAGCTCAGGATATGCCCATCTTTGGATATGTTGTCTTAATTTAGTGTGAGAAATACCTGTGTTAAATAAGGAGGTACATGCCAAGAAAACCTATTCTAACTACTATAAAAATGAAGAGAAAAATTGTGAACTTAAAAATGTAATGTTTACTTGATTTATTTTTTTGTTAGCAAACTTTTATTAATGTAAAAGATATGTGCCTTGTAGAAAAGTCTCTTTATATGAAAAAACATACTGTTCTTACTACCACCAAGTATAAAGTGATTTATTGAACTTATTTGTTAACTCTGATCTGCCTCTTTTTGGGGAAACAAATAATAGTCTTACATTTAAAAAAAGGAAACCCTAAAGATTTCCCATGAATGAAGAAGCTGTAAAAAGTTCATAATAGTGGCAGAGAGCATACTGAAAAATAAAATATTTAATTCCTAAACTTTGAAATATTTATCCATTGTAATAAGAGCAATACAATATTTAGTCTAACTTGGAACTGCTTATGCAAACCTCACAGGGATGGAATGCAATGTACACTGTTTTCGTGTTGCATTGTAATGGAAAACATAGAAGCAAGGCAGAAAATGTGTGTTTGCATTAAAGATGACTCAGTACTGTGAGCATTAAGTGTTGTGGTAGCAGCAAGTTCTACATGTTACATTAGCAAGGAAGGATGGTTTCTCTCACAGCTTCTGTCTGCTGTGCACCACTACAGTCAGCAAATGAGCAATTACCTATCAGTTACTAGAAGGTTTTAATAGTCTAGGCAGTGTCTACACCATCTGATAGGATAGTTAACATATAAAATGCACGTCTCGGGGCGCCTGGGTGGCTCAGTGGGTTAAGCCGTTGCCTTCAGCTCAGGTCATGATCTCAGGGTCCTGGGATCGAGTCCCGCATCGGGCTCTCTGCTCAGCAGGGAGCCTGCTTCCCTCTCTCTCTCTCTCTGCCTGCCTCTCCGTCTACTTGTGATCTCTCTCTGTCAAATAAATAAATAAAATCTTTAAAAAAAATAAAATAAAATGCACGTCTCCTCCTAGCAAAACACGTATTCAGCTTTTTTCTACTTCTAAAGCAAGGTGGTTTTTAAATGTCTTCAGACCTGTTTGTTATGAGTTGATTCTGTTAACAACTTGAGGTTAGTATGCTGTAACTAGGAATTTAGTGATTGTCCTTTATGAAAAAAAATAAAAATAAAGGAGGGAGCTAACAGCATCTGGAAATAATGTGGTGCAAATATGGTACTCATTTTTACAGACAATGATATTGATGACATAAGTTTTACGTAGTAGCAATTTATAGTCATTTGAATTTTTAATGGGTGGTTCTGTAGAGCTTAGTTTATTTAGCTGCCTTCGTCCACCTTCTGGTACTATGGAATATTTTAAGCCACTAACACATTTTCTCCTATGTCGGTAAACCTGTTATTTATTATGAATGTATAGAATACTTAACTAAAAAAAAACAAAGAGATATTGAAGATATTTTCTGTCCTTTGGCTTCAGATTATCATAGAGGTAATAGCACTTTCTGAGCGACTGCAAATGCATCAGGGAAATTTGGGAATGACTGGTACCAGATTATGGTTTCTAAACAACCAGGCTGCCATTTTTATATGATAGTTAATACCTAAATGACATATGCTTGCATCTGGTGACAGTTGATGTGATGGTAATGCTTTATGAGTCAATATATATTTAATCAGTGGAAACTGTAAAAATTGATGAGAAATATATAACATTGGTATGTTACAGTGCACAGTAGCGCTCTTAAACAAGAACACTGTATTGTTGATTTGGGGGCCAGAGACTAGATACGGTCATCAGTGCTTTTAGAGATATCTTAATACTAATTTTCCTATATCAAGACTAAAAATGAACATTTTAGGAAATCTCATTTTGTTAATAATAATAAGATCAGTCATTCTGTTCTCTCCACACAAATATTTTCAAGTGAGATTTGAAGCACTATGAATTTTACTTACATGCTAAATTCTGACATGAAGCATGATGGCCCTATTTCAGAGAAAGATGGACACATGATTAATATGAAAATTAGGGAGATGCAAGTACCTGAACTAATAAGGTAGTCCTTATTCAGGCTGGACTACCTTCAGTAATTT